AATTATCTAGCTACCGGGGGAGGGAAATATTAGTAATGGCGAACAGTAGCCCCATTGGCAGTAATTTATACCGAGGTAGACTGTGTAAAGCATAGGTACCTCTCACCTACTTCAGCCGCCAAGCAGCTTGTTTTGTAAGATCTTTCGGTTGAACAATAGGGATGACATCTTGATCTTTCGTAGTATGAAGCAACGATTGACCGATATCGCACGATAACATGATGTCCATAGTGCTAGTAGGTAATAAGCGACGGTAACTACTTCCTATCAGGTAAGAAGACAGCGTGTATGACATTTTAATTGCATAAAAAAAATTACCCTATGTCCACTTCCACGCGGGAGCGTCCTAAGTTTTAGTTACGGATACCTATTATTCAACCTCTTTTTTACTAAACTATAGGTATCGATTAAGTTAAATCTATTTATATCATAAAACACGAAGGTTGATTGATTTAAAATGAACTTAAGTAAATAAAAATGGAATGTAAGCATAACTTCTGTCAATGTTGTTGTTTTATAATTAGTCTAATTCAGACAGACATGCATGGCCTATACCTACTGCCTAGTCATAAGTTTTGTCAATCTTGAGTATATAAATCAATTTGCTTTCATTAATCTCTGTTAATTATTATTTTGTTCTTTTTTTATTGCCTACGTTTTTACGGCATGGCAACCCACATCTTTGTAAGCTGACAGTTACAATTTTATTTATATATAGAATTGTATCCACTAACTGACGGAAAATTTATGTTGTGGGCAAAATTAAAAAATATGTACAGATTTATTTAAGTAGTATCTAATATGAACATTGTTGTTTTGGACAAAGACAAGAACACGACACCACGTTTTTGTCTGGAACATTGCTACACGTATACTGTTTTTTGTTATAAAAAAAGTCGTTTTACGTTATCAAGACTGAAACTCTAACGTATTTAGAAATGAAATCGTTTACCATTTGTCTAGACCCCCAGGGGCGCTGTTAAAAGGCTATTCTACAGTCTGCGAACTTTGCTTGTATATATGGATGTAGTAGGTATGTTGCGATTGGAAAATACATCGATCACGGGAAGGGGTAAGGGGATCGTTAGTAATGGGGATTAGTGGTCCCAAATGTTTCACGTAAGTTTGGCTTCAAAGCGGTTCCTTCTTGAAACCATTGTTTTTATTTGCAAAGGACACCAACGAGCTCGTGACGCATGGTAAGATTATAAGCACCCGCATTGCCGTCCTGTTAAGCTCTTTTGTTAAAGGTTTCGTTGTTAAATCCTGGTGAATTCGCCATGATGGGCTAACTGACCAGACTTCATATTTCAGCATCATCCATTGGTGCCTTGCCAGCGCATAGATACCATTACATCAACTGCATCATTTCATGTTCATCCAATAATAGGAATATATGGAATATCTATCTAAAGGTTATGTAATACGGGTTTTTTTATAATTCTCGGTATATTATTTTACTATATACTACTTTAAATTACTAACTACCAGTAAATACATAGATATCATATCTAAAAGGATAGGGAAATAGTATGTATACTCTCTAATAACTCATCGATCATTTATCCGTTTCTTCATAAAAACATTGATAAAGGTGGGAATGATAATCTCATAAGTCAATGTTAGTTATTGAACTGTTTTGTCACTTTCTCCGAGGTATTTAGTTGATACACAAGAAACGAAAGATAACTGTGTAACAGTTTAAATAAGTTTGTAGGTTTTACTTATTTATGGCGGCTATAGTGTCAGCAACCACGCAAAACTATACTGGTGATCGCTATACTTAACTACTTATAGGAAATTTATTTTATTATATTTTCACTATGGCTCATAAATGAATAAACATTATTAATATGAAAGTGTGTGTCTATCTGCTTGTTACTTTTTCACAAATGACTGCTGTATTAGGGGAGAGAGGGGGAATAGCGCTCACCTCTGTACCTCTTTCAAAATGGAATATAGCAACACGCCTGCACCACGTTACTTAAAGCACGAGGATAGGTAGCCTCTAAAAGACAGCAATGCAAACAGACAGTCAGCTCGCGTCATGTGATCGTGAAGTGCGGATTTTCGATTGCGGCCATGCTGATCTAATGTTTGCATATAAGTGTTTTATGGCGGTAAATCTAAAATTTTAATGCTTATTTAATTATTAAGTATACTTTTCTGATAACAAAACTATTCTATTTTATGTTAATGCAATCAGTTTTTAACAATTGCGCATTGTATTTTTTAATTTCTAATTAATTACAAAACGAACGGTTGGGGGTTATACCGCTCACCTAAGTGCCATTACCCCTTTGTGACTTATTTTTTTTATTGTTGTAAATATGCTAAGAAAACGTCAAAGGATCGCCGCTAAAGTTATTAGACCGAAAAGACCGAAAAATACCTTCAATCTGCTAAAACTATGTATGATTAAAATAAGTTTGTCCAAAAGAAAGAAATAAAAACATAATACATAAATCTTAAAAGAAAAATTTGCATGAAAATTCTTCAGGCAGTGAAGATAAATAGCACCATTGGGATGATGACAATCAGACGACAAAATTAATGTGGATGATAGAAATTATAACAAATGTAGAATAGAAATTATAACAGGAATTTGGAAAAAATATGAATTCTGGTATCGCACACCATCTGCGGACTCTGGGCTCATGTTACATGTTCAGAGTGGGATTCGCAGATATATACATATGTGATTTATGTATCCAGGGATAAAAAATTGTTATTTCTAATTTGTCTTACCTCTAATAATAATAATGATTTTATATCATATTACAATAATTGAACTTGATTTGACATCTAAGCCAGAAAAAAGGCTAATTTTATGTAGAAACGGGGATAATTGGGGATTGTAGATTTTACTTTTATTATATAAGATTGATATTATGAATATTTCTTTAATTAATATATGTTACTGGTTATTAGACATTACCCCGTATCCTGAGCGGCATTACCCATAGTCAGAGTCAATGCCGCTCAAACATGTTTTTTTAAATAATGTCTTCCTACTACTAGTAGAATAAAGTTGTACGCTTTTGATGTTAAATTGTTGGTTATTCGATAATTAAAGACTGTTACTTTTCTTAATTTTGATTTGCAATAAATAATTTATAAAATACACCATGTTTTCCTTAATTGAACGCCATTCACCCTTCTTCCCCTAATCTTATCGAAGAATATTTCATAAACACTCATATATATATAGTATCATATACCAAAAATAGGTTACTTCAATCTAAAAAAATTAGTCTAGTCCTTTTGACACGTTTCAAAAGTAATCAAGTAAAATCAAAGTTGTATAATCATCTACTAGGTACTTCATTATTGATAAAGGAAGACTTGTAAAAAAGTTTTTACGGCTTGCTTTCAGTTGTTCGTCTAACATAATAATGGCTTTAAATTTTGAAGTCCCGCTTTTATGAAGTAGACAGCGATAAGAGGGATTATAAAAGGAAAGTGGGGGCGAAGTGTAGATAAGAAAATAATGGGGCGACGACGAATACTGAGCGAAATGACTGAAAATTTATCTAGTTCATTATTACGCATCAACGTTGTTTTTTCTTATGACAAGATTCAAATTCATTGTAGGTACATGATTACATAGGTATACATATTTTTAGGTTCAATGTATTTTTTAATGATGATGATATAGTTCACCCGCCTGCGCTTACGGTTTATGCTGTCGGGGCACCAGTGGAGGATGATATAATGAACATGAGGTCAGGTCAATTAGCCCATCGCGGTTAATTCACCAGAAATACATCGTGATGAAACATAAATCCAGGGGGGGACCGCGTGGAGGTCAACATGCCATGGAACATTGCTCATCAGTCCACAATTCTAACAATTCCTTCTCCTTGTTAATGTATTATAAATACCTATTTGTACAAGGTAGACTTCGTATAAAATCCACTGTGGAAATTCCACACTCTGACGCGTTATAGGGTGATATGGATATAACAGTGAAATTATAGAGTACAGGCCCATATACCTTAGTTCTACGGAATGGCAACGCTTGTGAGGCACCACAGACGTCACAAGATAGAGTAATATTTGTGATAATATTCATGTATTGCTACTTGATTGCCAAGATAGTGTGGTATTAGAAAAGGATCAACCTTTGCCCTTTTCAAGTTGAATTAGTACATACGTTATTTGATGGCTTCGGTGGTGTAGCGGTTTAGCACACAGCTTTACTTCCGATGGTCGCGGGTTCGATTTCTCACATGGTACAAATTTTTGCATTCATGAGTATAATTATTTGTCTGGATGTTATCTATTTATAATATGTATTTACAAAAAAAATTGTTATAATCTATTTGTTAATCCCGGAGTCAAATTTGCGATTTCCGATGTTACTTGTTTTCTGCAATTTTTAAATAGGGTTGTGGGACTATATGAAATTAATATTAATTACCCATTTTTATAGGTTACTCAAAAATAATTTGTGAGTGTTTGTTTAAAACGTAGATATTAACACAAAATTAATAAAGTATAGGGCATTTAATAAAATATATAAATATAGGGTTGTTGTACCAAAATTAATTTATTGTATCTTTGGTACAACAACCCTTGTATTAACTACTTACTGCATTTTTTATAAAACAACACAAAATAATACATCTATTTGAAAAATTTTGCAGTTTGAACGATAAAATGAGGGTTTTTAGCTTAAAACTGTAAAAACAAACTATATGTACGGAAAACCTCAAAAATGTATTTTTGTGTTGTATAATACGACAGTAATGGAGACATTAGTATATGTACGTCAATTTTTATTATCTATTGCGCACTTAGGTGGTAACATTATTTGAAAATTTGAATTCAAATTTACCGGGATTAAAAAACAGACTAAAGGCTATTTAGGTACTTAGCTTACACAAATGAAAAAACAATTTTACATATACGTTAATAGAGTTTATTATAAAATACAAGATATGTTAACATTTATCATAAACAGTATTTAGAAACCTCACGAAGTAATATCACATTGCAAATATTAGATAGTTTTCAATATAATTCAATTTATAGTTAGCTACTACATTATTGCTTATTAAATCAAGTGTAATTCTAATACAATTATTTGTAAATTGATATTTTTTTCTAACCTTTTTATATTAAATATGTTTAATATAATATATTATAATAGAAAGAATATCATAATGAGATGTTTAGCGTACAGAAATTGTTATATACTACATTGTTCTTGGAAATTATACATAGAGTCAATAGTTAAGAAAGAAATCTAACAGCAAATTACTGCTTTAATATACTAACGACATAATCAAATCTTTATATTCAGCCTTACTACAAACAGTTCATAGAAAAGTTAATATCTGTAGCTGTTTGTTACAATCTTATAATTAAACTACTGCATCGATTTAGGTGAAAATTGGCAGACGAATCGTATGACGTCTAAAATCGTATGAAACAATTCCACAGATCGAATTCCTGTAAAGTGCTTACGCATCTACGTAAAATATCTAAGTATGTTTGTGAATTATTAAACGAATTTCTAAATAATACAATAAACGTATTATTTTGGAACATTTTCAATATAATACTTGCCTATAATTCAATGCAGTAAAACGACAGATGAAATGTCAATTTAAAAAAGCTAAACACTTTGACGATTCCAAAAATATTCTACAAAACAAAATTAAATATATTACCGTCATTCTATTTTTCTTAATTGTATTAGAACTGTGAAATTACATAATAAGAGGTATGACATCTTAATCTTCTAGAATGGCATCGCATGAGTACAACATGTGCGTACAGTACAAACTTGTAACGAACTTTAATAAATCCATTATACATCACAATAGATCTATTAAAGATCGCTACTAGACACTAATTTCGATCTCGTATTTTATTATATCGTATCGTTTTACTGCATTGTACCAAGAGTCAGTTACGATGTATATACTTTGGGGTACGAGGAAGTAGAACCGTATTATACCTTAGTTCATGGACATGTTAGTTGAGCAACATTATGAGGTGTACAATGTCTCAGTCCCTGAGTTGTAATATGCAGGCCTCGTGCAGGAGGAATCAGGTCACGTCCACTCACCCTCAGTCTATGTACGCATCCCACAAAACCGGACAACAATGATGCACCCGTGAGCCTTTAAAAAACATATAGTATGTATAGTATAGTAGATACACGTCAGACTCGACAGTAAATAGATAAAATAATTAAACAATGAATTAAGTGTTATTGTTAGCGAGATTTCTATTTTTTTATTAGCATAAGAAACTTATAGGTAAAATAATTGTAAACAACAAACTAACAAATCGTAAAGCTTCGTTTACTATTACATTCACAAATTACATAAAAAGATTGAAATTAAACATGGACTTTGAACAAACTTGTTTGAAAATTGCAAAAGCATTACTCACTTAGTAACATTCTTAGGAGGGCTGCCAACGTAAATGAATGGGTCCACATCTAGAGAGTTCATGCGCCCTTGCGCTGAACCCCTTATGGTCGTTGTTCCAACTCTCAGCATGGCATCTTTTTTATATCTTCGTGCAGATATTTTCAATTTTCCACCTGTTCTTATTTTTCCTGACTGCAATTCTAGCATCCCGCTACCCGCGTCCCAACGTAATACCGCTCTTTCTTCATTAAATCCTACCCACAAGTAGTCTCTCACTCCAGCAGCACTCATTAAAGCACCTTCACCGCACGCAGCGGAGACTTCGGCCCATACATCAAATCGTTTACCGGGCAATCGCACTCTCGCTGATATACTCGCTGTGCCATCAAACAGCGGCACTTTATAAATTTCATTTTTCACTCCCATGTAATCCTCATACTGTGAATAATCTGATTCTTCCTCTACATGATTCGTCGTCTGAATCTCCAAATCGTCATCTAAATCAATTTTCGGACTAGAAGATTTCACAACGCAATTAACTGGTTCATCGGCTTTCTCCGAGATACCGCTAACTTCTCCATAGATATCGTCTGCGAATTAATCATTTGAAAAGATAGTAAGGGAGTCTAAATTCGAAAGATTATCTAATACAAATAGATTTCTATAGTACAAGTGCAATATTCTAGCATCTAGCTCGCTACATCTAGCGGTATCCGACCGGTGGGAGGACGTCGACGCAAGTCAACTCGGGGTCTGGACTGTCGGGTTTGCCGCTATCGCTGGTGTCTACTGAAGCGTCGGTATTCAGAAGAGAATCGGTAGAGGAGCGTTTGTGCCTCGAGTCGCGGATGTGCGGGCGTTTGCCGGTGAGGGGAGAGGCCGAGCGGCTACCTCGCCTGACGTGCGGCTCGTCCGCGCACGGCCCGAAGGCCTGCGCCACGATGTCGGCCTGCGTGCGGCACGCGTGCGCGCGCAGGTGGCACGTGGACAGGTACGTGCGGCCGTCGCTGCCGCACACGGCCGGCGCGCTCGCGGAACCGGAACCGGAACCGGAACCGGTCTCACAGTCGCCCGCGCCGCACTCGCAGCTCGCCAGCCCACTGCGGACGACGCAGTACGCACCGAAGTAGCACGTCATGTGCTCGCAATCCGTCGCTGGTAGTTGGGTGGATTCCGCTGTTGGACAATACAAAAATTAAATTTTAAACTGTGTCCATACGATTCTACACCGTATGAGTACTTTATTGATATAAAATATTTCTGAATTAAATAGAAATCAAGCAGATAAATAACCCCTTTCGATTCTTACCTATTTCAGAAAAATTCTATATACCTAAATTAAGACTGTACTAACGGGCTTTCGTTACTTCAATATAACTTAAATTATCATAACCCGTTCAGTCTGAATATTAGAACGATTTGAATTATTAAAAGATTTAATCAATTAGAAAACATATTGCAATTATAGGTACACCACACCTACACTTTATAAATTCGTAAGAACTTTATACAAAAAAGCTTAAAAGACTAACGGTCATAACATCCATTGGGTCCAAGTGTGTGTTCATGGTTAGAGCAGACAGTACATTTTTGTCCCTGGATCCCTGGTTTACAAACACATCGACCAGTCATCTGTTCGCAGTCCTCGCGTACAGACCCAAACGCTGAACAGCCACATGCTAAAAATAAAAAAAAAATACATTTACACCTTTTTAAATATCTACGTTAATTATTTGGAGACGTTTACTCCAATCGGCATCATTCCTTACATCATCATCCAAAATAGATGGATCAGATGAATGATGGAGTGAAAAAAACCTGTGTTAAGAAGTTATGCGCCGAAATGGTTCCATAAAAATATGATACAACAACCCTTAATACTTACTACCTATACTTTATTAATTTTGTTTTAATGTGTGTTAAATAAACACCCCAATATAATTTGAGTTTAAACAATATAAATCGGTAATTATATGGAATGTTAATTTTAATGTTTCATTTCATGTTTTGAAAATTAACTTACTGTTTCATTAGGAATTTCCTATAAACATTCAATTATATAACAATTAAATTTTTGAATATTATAAATTATATATGTCACATAGAGGAGGGAAACATTTTAGAAACGCTAAGCTGGGGCATGCACAAAAAATGTTGGGAAAAACTGGCATTTTTGTCATTTCCTATAAATAAAACTAAGAAAACCATACGGCAGACAGAAGACAATGGCCGTATGGGATTATACTCTTTGGTTTTTCTATAAGGATAGAACTAGAACTAAAAAAAATAAACAGGGGCGTACGTATGCAGCCGGCGTGTCCGGAGCCGATGCGCGGCAGCCCCCAGTAGCCGGGCTGGCAGCGGTCGCAGCGCAGGCCGCCGACGCCGGGCCGGCACGCGCACTGTCCGGCCGCGTCGCAGCGCTCGCCGGCCGCGCCCAGCCGGTGGCAGCCGCACCGCGCCGGGCAGCCCGCGCCGCCCGGCCCGTGCGCCGCCGTCACGCCGTCCGAGCAGCACCCGTGCCACGACTCCTGGCAGCTCTTCGTTTCCACTGACCCTTTTTCTTTGCAGACAGTTTTTTTTTTTACATAGTATAGTGGACAAACGAGCTTGTATATATTTCTCACTCGCTGACCCCGCAAACTGTGTTTTGCCATATAAATTAAAATCGCTATTAAACAATTGGAGTTGATAGTAGAAGGGTGAAAATTTAGATTCTCAGACCTACTGAATATGCATATAAAATTTCATAAAAATCGGTCAAGCCGTTTCAGAGAAGTATGATAACTAACATTGTGACACGAAAATTTTATATAAAAGATAAGTAAGTTCTTATCAGGGGATACTGCCATCATTTAGATTACTCCAACGATACCTTATTTGTCAAGTTATAATTCGGAGTTTAAAAGTTATGAGTGAATACATACATACATTTCAAAATCATAACCCTCCAGATGGAGGGTTATAATGGGGGGTATGTGTTCTCTGAAACGAGAATGCTACCTGCGAAACGAGATCGTTTCACCGTAGTAAAGAAAATATTAGTATTTTAAGATATTTTAGACTTTCAAAGTGTTTCGGCCTATTATTATTATAAGATACTCAATAAACTATTGAGTATCTACAGTACTTGTAAGTACACTTATTAGAAACAATTCACCTAAAAATATGATCTCTTCCAGTAGTAGTCTGACAACGAACAACCTACCAATAAAGCGTCATCCTCAAATTAACCCATTTTTAAACAAACACGTACAGATATAAAATACATAGTCGAATTGCGTTTTTCCTTCCTTTTTGTAGACCTCACCAATTATTATCTAACTATTTTAATTACCTTTCTTACAGCAACGAGCAGCTTTAGCGGTGTGGTGACAGTAACTGCCAATAGGACAATCTTTGCGATGTGGTCCTCCCCCACAATCCAACGGTCTACCCTCAGCATCTGTTAATGGCTCGTCATCGCCACACGGTCTAAACTATTGGATAAATAAAGTGAATAAACTACTGTTTGTTGTAAACTATTTTTGTACGTTTTATCTTAAGGGATCGTTTTTTTACATTCTATCGTATAAGTAAACTAGTAAAAAAATGGCAAAAATCTGTGCGCCGTTTACTGCTTTAAGATCTCCTCCTTTATCACATAGTCTCATACGTAAAACCCAGTTGAAACCAGATTTTTATATATCAGCATACCAAATAATTATTCATTAAAAAAATACTTTGTAATCGTCTACCCTGTAAGCGATCTGACATAAAAATCGATAAAGTAAACTATTGTTTAAAAGTACATTTTTATATTATTTTTAAAACTGTAACTCACTTCTAGACCCCTGCATAGAGCAAGTGGCCGTAGCCTGAGGTCCTCTTGTCGCCGACACGCTTCTAACTTCATATGACACAATGTAGGATACAATCTCAAGTCGGAAGCGCACACCGGGGCTGAAGAAGCAGCGGCAGCAGCCGCCGCCGCGCAATCAAACAAGCAAGCACATCTATAATAATACAAATATTTTTTATACAACGGTGTATAGTTACACCGCTATATAAAAAATAGCTACAACGTAATGTAAATCGTCTTGAGGGATGATCCCTGAAAAAAATCCTCGAAGGCCCGTTTGAACCGCATATTTTTTGGTTTTTATTTTCCAATCGAATGTCAGGATTAATCCCCTGCGACAATGAATAATAAAGTGCTCAAAAAACATTGAGTCTATAATTCTTCCGATCTCAATCAAATTCAAATGTAACACTACTTGGACACTACAGGTAACAAATATATGGAGTAGCAACACCTCATCACATCATATATAACGCTACAGTGGTGAGCTACCATCGGGCTACACAGATATATACCCATTGGTACCTACAGACATCATCACCATACCTCGGTTGTCCATTGGAGTCGACAGCGCACGTAGCCTCATAGGCACACTGTACTCTCGCACACACAGCAGTGCTAGCACCAGGCTCGCTAGAACTTTCCGCAGTTTCGTCTGATGAACGGATCTCATTACTTATATCTATGAGTTTTCCCGTCTTATTTAATCCTGGAATTGAAAAAATTAAAAATTATTTAAAATATTTCAATATCGTCTATCTATAATAGTTTTATATCTAAGTATGTAATATACTAAATATTGCTACCGCATAATATACATTAGCACTACCTCGAACGAAACACCACATTCCCACACGTTTGACATATTTGATGGAAATTTCTATCTGCATGTTATCTTTTCAAAATAGTTACCGGACCATAATATGCGGCATGAGGACATATAGTATTATGAAGATGAAAATAGGTTATTTTTTTACTTAAAAAAACAGACGAAGTCGCTTTCGCTAATGCTGATTATATAGAAGCACTAGTTGATACCACTTAAAATTTTGGGCACTCGAGTGAAACCGGGGCAAGTCACTAGTTTATTTTTTAATGTAATTGTACAGACTAACAAGCTTACAGCCCACCTGATATAAGTGGTAGCGCGTGCCATTCTATCATTAAGACCTTTCATCTATTAAGTCATCAAGCCTCTTATCCTGTAATTTCACTGCCTATGCCTGCCTATCAAAGATGCATACCTTGCATGATTTTGACCTCTGGTTTACATATATGTAACTAGTATCTGAAATATTTCAGTATATAGCAACACGGTGACCGTACCAGTTGTAGAGTTGTCGTCCTGTGCATCGGAGCACTCGCCGTAGTACGCGAGGCGGAGGGGCGGGTCGCCGCGCATGCGCGCCTCGCAGGCGGCGCGCCGCAGCGCGCACGCGTGCGCGTACGTGACGCGCGAGTCTGCGCACACGGGCTCGCGCGCCTCGTCCGCGCACGGCGTGCTGCACGCGCACGCGCCGCGCGCACACCACGTGCCCGCCGGACACTGCACCGCTGCGCACGATTCTGCGCACCGCACACCGTTGTCATTATCGACACTTCTACTTTTGAGATAATATATTATTTTTACGTAACAAAAATTCAATTACTTTACCCACCCCCACATTAAAAAAAAGTGTAAGTTGTTTTTACATAACAAAAATTTTAATAATCTATCCGGCGTGTAATCTATAATCGGCGTGCTCAGCTTTGCCTAGTGAAGGATTTTTTTCAAAGTTGATAAATAATATATTCTAAGGCTTACTTTTCGGAGCAGCACATGAAGCTACCCTCCCTGTCTCTACTTTGTACCTTCTTTGTATTATATAAAGTTTAGCATGTCGGCCTCAAGAGAAACGGTGATTTAACGATTGTTTATTATACAATAAAGAATAAAAAACCTACACTAAAGCTGCGGACGCAGAGACAAATAAGATTCTACAAGGAACACATAACTACTCTCACATTTATTTAAAATTATTGTTAACCACATATACATAAAAATACCCAGATAATAGAAATAGAGTTGCTTATTAATAGGTACCAATGGTTTATAAAGTGACCAAATTACAATTACACAAATAAAAATCTATAGCAATCTAAATCATGTTTCTTATATATTTTTATTTCTATTTATATACTACATAAGCAGTATTTTGTCTTTGAAGAATTAAGAAATACGCATATACAAAAAAAAGATAATAGGCTGCTGTAAATATCTTACCACACGATCCCATGTGTTTGACATGAAGTTTTCGTTTTTCTCGGCACGCTTCATTACGTAACGCACAAACGCTGCTGTAGGTACGATTGTCATTACCGCAAACTTCTTCTGTCTCCTAAAATATACAAAAATAATTTTATTACCTTGGTACTCCAAGGTATAAAAATATTATAATCCAGGCTTTCAAAATGGACATTAATCCTTACAATTTTACAAAACATGATATCATTGCTCGAAAACCTGTCGGCAAATATATCTACAATAATGCAGGATGCTTACAGTTCCCTCCTCACAATGTTTCGGACATACACAACTCGCTTCAGAGACACCGTCACTTTCGCAGACCGCATAATACTCGCATTTCTTGTTTTCACAACCGTCTGAAACAACGCCCAGACATAGATATTAATATGCGATTGACAAATTCATCACCATTTGTAATCAGATGATCAGTTCCAAAATAAAATAAATAGACCGTGTATACTTGGAAAGATGACGCTATAAATATAAGTAAATATATTGTTTGGATATGTTAGGCCTTATACATTTTTACATTATTTTCATTAAATAATTATGACGAAAAATAAAAAATGCTGTTATAGAATATACATGTATAAGCGTATCAACACACAACTCACTTTCAAACTGACAATGAGACTATTGATACCTAAAATAAAAGGTATAGCAATTATAGGACATAAATCCAACAAAAAGAGAGAAAGAAAATAATTTATTAATTACTGGGCGACAAGACAATAGAGAGCAATTTATGTGACAAATTAATGGCTACTTCATTTGTCAAGTAAATTGACTGTTTTCAAACGACGAGAGGCAATCGTTTGAAAAGCATTCATTACACGGCAACACGACATTGTGGCGGCCCAATTCGGAAAACAACGACGATACAATTGTCTGTTTATATCTGAAAATCACTAACTTGTTTTGAATACGAATACTGTCAAGGGAAAGGTTGAAATGCATTCAGTGGAAATGTGTCATAAGTTATTTTACATTTATTTACAAATTAATTTATTTATTACAAGGTACAGGACCTTTTCTCCGTCTATTTATGACAATAAATATTACAACACCATCTATTAGTTCACTATTAATAATAATAATTTTATAGACCACATTCTCTTAAACTATTTCTTTCTTCTTGTTACATAGGCAGCACATACATTGCAGATAATTGACCACTAGTCTCTAAACTATGCCGAGCCTGTAGATATTATAGACACTAGTTTGAGTGACTGACAAATGAATATAAAAAAAATTGCAATTGCGGGTGTACTTTTACATTGGAACTATTATAATGTCATTAATAAAATAGTATAATATAGCGTAGCGTAATAGTATTATTATTTCACCGAGTTAGCAAACCCCTATTTCTATCTTTTCAGCTTGGTATTTTTGTGGAAATTTCTTATTAATTTTTCGAGCCATTTTACGTGAAACCTTACCACACAATCAGTTACCGCCTCATCACAATTTTCTCATATTATTATACATAAATAAAAAGATAGAGATAATACTAACTGCAAGGGCCATCGTAGAGCACTTGGACGTCGCGGCGATGTCGACAAGCCTCTAGCTGTAGCTTGCAGCGGTTTCCGTACGAGATGCCGTCAGAGCCACAAACTGGTGCGAATTCATTGGAGCAGCGCGGGCAGCGGCAGACGCCGCGACCGCCCGACGGTACGCATTCACCGCCGTGCGGGCACACGCGTCCCGCGCATATACCGTTCGAACCTATAATCAAAGTTATTTCTGTTAAAGAATTTAAAATTTATCTGTATTATCTAAGCGTAACAACCAGAGACTTCCTAACATTTCATGAATTTACCAAGTTAGTGCCGAGTCCATCGAATTACGAATTGGGAAAATTCCAAGCAGATCCCGGGACTTGTTACACGGGTGTAGGTTTATATGCACCTTTAAAGACGTACGTCAACACTCACCTTCGGCGCTCGCGTTTCTGTCCGTGCCCAATCAAATCTAGTGGAAGCCTGCTAATGTAGCTTTAGATTCAGGTTATAATTTAGAATCCATTGCAGTTCTCAATGCCAAAGAGGCCAAGATGTTTTTGAAGATTGCACATTGAGATTTCGCTGGTATACTTTTGCTTCCACTTCGACACATAGTTATTTTTCGTTAATTAGTTTGTAATATGTATTTATCTTTATTGCATGGTCTTTAGGTATACGTGTTTCCCGTGGCACAAAATATAAAAAACGTAATTAGCACCACAACTATTCTATTCTATTGCCAATACTACGTACCACAGGCGCCGGCGTGCAGTACACGCAGCTCCCTGCCAAGCAGGCAGGCAGCCCGACGCAGCTCGCACTCACTATCGTGCGTGCGCGAGTCTCCGCCGCATACGGGCCGCAGTACGGGTTCGCACGGCGGCGGGCAAGCGCAAACAGCGCCACCGCCTTCAACTCTACACTCAGCGCCGTGACGACACTCCACCTCCGCGCACGGATTTACACCTACATCAAGGGGAAATGTTTTTCATGAGAATATTTCCTGGGTGTAATATTTTCTTACATAGAAAAGACACTTCATTTATAAATAAAACAATAAACATCACTAATAAAGTCACGTTGTCTTTCATCATTAATATACTTACCAGAACTACATTGTCCCTTGAATATTATCTTTAGCTGTTTCCTAGCACGACACGACTCGCGGTGCATTTGACACTCGTTGGAGTATGTTTTGCCGTCAGAGGCACAAACAGGCGAGAACTCTAGCGGACAGGGCTCCGCACAGCGGCAAGACGGAGACCGACGCTCGTCCAATTGACACACTTCTGGATCAGGGCAGGTCACTCCAGCACACGGATCTGAAAATACGCTGTGACGACTAGAAGACGAGTGGAAAACCTAAAGGCTTACTTATAAACGTTTATTTTAACTTATTTAATACGCATTACTAGTGTGCCTACACTTGCAATATATATGTCGACACTTGAGACCCTTCCATTAGTTTACGTCTCCACTAACATAGATTTAAGTTAGGTGTAAAATCAGTCTACGTCCCGACTCCGCATCGACTGGATGCGTTATTAATAAACCATGTAGCACACTACCAATAAACTTAATAATGTCTAATAAATAGTGCAATAATTTTACTCACTATACTATATATATATAGGTATATATGTATATATATATATATATATATAATACTATAGGTATACTCACTACCTACATACTACAATAAATAATATATTATGTAGCGCCACCTCATCACAACATATGTAACGCTACAGTGATGAGGATAACCACCGCACTACACATGATAACATTGAAGACTGCTGTTCATGTAGATACGCTACGGTCACCATATATTATGACGTGCGTCGTCGCTTGTTCACCATTCACACCACCACCATTCACCACAACACAGCTAGGACTAGGTTACTCAAACATATCGTCTCAAAAAAATAAAAGAATAGTAAACCTAATGTACTTATATAAAATATACTGACCACATTTTCCGTAATACTTGAAAGTTATATTAGTGTTGGACTCGCATGCAGCCCTGCGCATCTCACATTCGCCAGGGTAATCTCTGGCATCACTCGCACACAGTGGTCGCGACCCTTCGTGGTCACCGTAGCTGGGGCACGATGTGGGGCACTCGCAGTTGTAGGAAAGGCCATCAGGTGTTGGGCGGCACAGAGCACCGGGACCGCATGTCACACCACGACAAGGATTAGGAACGTCTAAAGAATACAAATAATCGCAGATAATAACTACTAATTATTTTGTGGTAGATAATACAAGCGGTAATAATGCTATTATTATACAGAAATTGAATAAAATATTCTAATATATATCTTCTAACATACCCACATACATATTACTATAAACAGGTATCTCTGAAAAAAGAACCATGCACCGTCTCCTTTCTATCTTAGGTATGTTTAAATTAGTTAAAAAATTACTAGTAACTTTACGTCGTCAAATACAGAATATTGTAAATATTCCTTTAGTAATTTATAATGAAATTAGGCGCTATTTAGGTAGGTGTGAATTCTACTTTCAAGATTATAAAATATTTAGTTGTTTTGCTTCAATTTATTTCTTCTTGTCTTGTTAACGTTACCTAATGAAAAAGATTTCAATTTAAACTTATAGTTTAGACCTTTAATTTCTTTAATTAATCATAATTTAAAATAACAGTAAATGAATAAACCAGGACGTGTTCTCAAGACATAAAAAGAAATCTTGTGGATAATAATAGAGATAAAAAATTACATCTATACTACAAAATATTTATTGACGTAGGTAGTACTTACCACTTGGGAATAAATAGCAAGCAGTTGTTACAGACACCAACAGTATCAACACAGCCGTTCTTGTGGTCAACATCGTGCGGCCAGTAAGCCGCCACTGTCCCCTACTCCAATCATTACACATCGCAATTCCACATTGTTTATGTTTCCACTGTAAATAGTTAACTAATAAATAAATAACATTATTTTTTTAATCATTCCATTTCTATATGGGGCTCCAGCGTAATACAATCTACTTTTACAAATATTTTACACAAATATTTACAATCAATATAATTCACAAGTTGTCCCCTATATTTAATTACCTCTGCTGACTTAATTAGGTACTTACCGACCAATCATTCAGATGAATAAACTGCCCTTGAAATTGGATCAACTAGAAGCCGTAGGATAAAACAAGGACTAATAAAATATATATCTTTGAGTGCCGACGAAGAATGTAAATGCATTCATTCGACCCTGGGTTACAGAGTAAACTAAAGCGAGCGACTGAATGAAATATTTGATCATGCGCAGTTGGAAGAAATTTTCGTAGCTTGGAAGCAATGAAGTCTAGAGTATAAAATGGGTAATTTATGACCGCCAGCAATATATCCTACTGGCTGTTAATCGCGAATTTGTTCTTTTTTTAGATAAATGAAATCTGTCTTCCATTAAATTCGGTACAGCCGTTTAGTCCTGAAAAGATATTATAACAAGCAAACAAATCGACACACTTTTACATTTATAACACTACTATATGTAGAATGTTATTTAATTGAGCGGAGCGCTCGTAGAGATCTTATTTGCACTTGTAACGACACTCCTCCGAAACAGCTTGACCGACAAAGACCAAAACTTCCTGCGAAGACCTTCGGGGGTCCATCGTTTACCGATCCGTAATATCCTTGAGGAATGGTCGGTGATAAAGTTTGCCATAGACTGCATCGAAATCGAAAAGAATTAACGCGTTGCGTTCAATATTTGACCTGGTGTTTAAACAACACACCAGTAACAAACCTATTTATTAAATACCTCTCTTAGGTAAAATTACACAAATACAAACAAATATGCTATACACATGATCTACATGCCGACATATTTACATCATGTAGGTATATTATAATGCAAAGTTTGGGAGCATGGAACTCCCAAACTAAGGAAACTATACCTAACTTATTATATATAACATGTGTCCTTGTTTGTACACGTACTTTTATGCATTCTATATAGTAATGTTGACTAAAAACAACATTACTATATAGAATGCATGGATGTACCTACCATGTCAGGTACACTTCGTGGAAAACCGTCGTGATAAATTCGTGGTGAATATACGATGGGCTAACTAACCTAACCTAATGCTTATGTTATCAACCACCACTGGTGCCGCCGAATATTTCATATGAAGATAGTGTACGGCCGAACTTATGCGGTTTGGACATAATAAAAGCACCGAAACAGTTTCATATTTCTACGGCAACTTTGAACTTGCCAAATGAGTGAAAATCTACATAATTTTTCCAGGTTATTTCCACACCCGGGGAAGGAGATTATTAATAATTGACTGTTTACCACATTACTAGCAATATACCATGTTAATTCGTACATAGTCCCCCTAAAACCATCGTTTTTAATTCCTAGAGAATTTGCCACGGCATGCTAACTGACCTGACTTCGTGGCCATCTTGTCATCCGCCCCCGTTGTGGAGTATACTGTTAGCGCAGGAGGGTTCTTTCAATATGATGCATTAGAAAAATATGATTAAAGCTGTATAACCTAAAGTGGTGGTATTCTGCGGAAATCCATTTCCTTAAAATAAATAGATGTTTTGTAAGAACTACGGTTCACTTTATGGAAGGTAATTTATTCATTTCTCCACCACAACAGAGTTTAGTAATGCCTTTTAATATCAAGGAATATAGGACATACATACACTAGTAGTCCTGTATCTGGTTGTGGTTTATTTGTCACATATACTAGCATTTGCTGCCACAGTCAAACTGACGATAAGTTGTAACCGTCACCTATATTATAGAACAGCACATAGACATCACGTAATCATGTATGTAATTCCTGTGATACCGTTCATGTGTTGCAATATTGAAGGTCTAACAATTATATTTTATATTATCTATAACTGCCTTATCACGGACCCTTCAATTCAATATAGAGATCATAAAATAGCCGATGCAAAGAATGGAATCATATGAATGTCGACATTCATACTACTAGGTTCCATTCTTGACAGCTCAGTTCCAGGTGTTGTACTATATGTGTTTTCAAATACTCTTTACTTATCATATTATTATCGTAATTCGGTGGTTATTTGCCCGAAATCAAATTACAAGGAAGTGAAGGTGAAGTCCAATATAATTTTTATAGCATTAGCAACCCACCGGCACACAACTCTTTGAATTCTTCAGGTTATGTAAATAACCTTAGTCATCTACTAGACATCTACATAGGATACTACTAAATAAATACACATTTTCCAACTTTAATATGTTTATTATCATGGTATAATACCATTTAAGACTTTCCACAATCTCATTACATTCCAACGCATGTAACAGAGACTAAGACTTTACATAATGTATAAAAATAGGACTGTATGAGCCCGAACAAGGCTCGGAAATGCACGTAGAATGAGAATCGAATGCACAAATGAAACACTCTTTCCTGTACACTGCTAAAATGCAATGACAAATTTTATGTGCCCCTCTCATCAAGCTAATATACACTTCGTAGTGAAAATTGCACATGATTTTGAATGCAAACCTACTAATATACTAAATTTTGTACATTTACTATGACCTATGTTTATATCACCAGTATTTCTGTCAAATTAATTACATAAATTGTGAAAGGTATCAAATAAATAGAAAATCAGATTAAATACTAAAAAATATTATTTAACACCGGAATATCGGCAACAAAATCGAAATATTATAAAAATTAATGGTATTGTGTCTAATATCTGTACACTAACAATCAATCGACAGATTCGGTAATAAATAAATTTGCTATACAGTCTTATTTATAAAACACAGTCACAATAATATTAATCAACGTTTCTATATGAATCGATGCGCTTCGCTTATCACATAGATAAAAACCACAGCACTATTTTGTCACTTACACTTTACAGTTTTCGGGTCAAACCAGCGTCCACGGAAAGAGATCACCTACCCAATATTTACAATAGAATTACAATTATTTACAAAAAAACAAAGTTCAAAGAACAAACTAAGTAGGCGGCGCGCGTCTGTCATAATCTCGTCTGTAAACTTCACGCTCGTATTCTCGGTCTTCATAGGAATAATCTGAAGGGTAACCTCGCCACTCGTCTGGATAGGGGCGAACCGGTGGGAAACCCATACCGCTTGGCATAGTTGCGCCTTCATAATAACCATAAGGCGCCGCCATTCCGACAAATCCACCGCTGCCATATCTAAAACGTATTGTACGTTACAAAAAAAATCACGATATTTTGAGAAAGATAACAAATTGTATAATTATACAAATAGTACTCGCCTTCTTTTATCATGAGGTCGTGGATTACGATCTCCACGATATTGCCTCGGTCCAGGATAAGCTGGAGGAGTCCAACCAGGATGCGCCGAATGCTCAGTATGAAGAGTATTAGGATGCGGCATTGTGTAGGGAGGACGCACTCGTGGTGGTCCTACACCTCCACTGTCTCGGCGAGTCCGCGATCGCTCTCGGTCTCGATCCCGGTCCCGGTCCCGGTCTCTGTCCCGGTCCCGATCCCGGTCCCGATCTCGGTCCCGATCTCGTTCTCTGTCGCGCTCGCGCTCGCGATCGCGGTCTCGATCTCGCTCCCGGTCGCGTTCCGGCCGACTGCGTTCTCTGCATATTAAATCATCCCGCTTCAAACTTCTGTCTCTATGCTTGTGATCCTTGTGCTTGTGTTTATGTCTGCATGGATGAAAGAAGCGATACGGTGGTGAGCGTACTAAGAGAGGTTAGCTACAATGAGTCAGTTAAATGTACAAAAGCAAGCGTGCAATGAAATGACATGAATTTTGAAATGGCAAATGAATGATGTGCTGAAAATGGAGCTTGTTAGTAAAGTAAATGATATTATCATTAATGAATTACCTTTCATGGCGTTTGTTCTCATTAGGTTCTGGATCGCATTCTCCTTCTTCTAATTTTCTCTTAATACCTGATGTATGTGGTGTTTTGTTGTTTGTTTTGTCCGATTTTTCTTTTTCAACTTTAATTTTCTTTTCTTTTTTATTATTCAAATCATTATTTTTTAATTCTCTCTTATTTGCTTTTAAATGATTATTTGAATTGTGATTGTTTTTATTAATTGTCTGTGGATAAATATAAATAGTGCTCTTAGTAATAATTCAATGATGATTCAATGAATCAAATTCTACAAAAAAAATGTTATTGCTAATGTTTAATTAAATGTACTTTCTATAGCTAAAATGCAAATTTTAAGCATATATGACATTAACAAAAATTGAACTTTTCTTGTGATCTAAAGCACCATACTACTAATATAAGAATATACCTTTACATTTTCCTTGTGTTTTCCATCCTTTTGTTTAGGGTTTACCGTTTTTTTAAGGCCATATTTGTACAACTTATACAACTGTTTTGCATCAAAATTGGTAAATTTTGACACAAAATACCAAAGATTACTTCTCCATTCCACCTTCTTTTCAGGATCTGGATATGCCTCAAGACATATATCGATTTGACTCCCTATTTGAGAAAGACAAGCACGTGTTCTAGTAACTTGTTCATTCTCGGATAATGTCTGATCTGGATTATCAAGTGCTCTGAGAGCTTTTTTGACAGGCCTCATTTTTTCCTTGCACTAAAAATAAGCAATAACATATAACATTCATTGTTCATGTGATATGAAACCAGCATATAATTTGATAACATATAATATGCAAGATAGGATCACTTAAAACGGAACCATCTGATTCGATTAAAAGCAGACTTACGAGTTGTCTGCGTAAGGTACTCACCTTAGTCACCCGCTAAACCGTTTGGTTTCTAAGATGTGTTTGGGTTGTGGGGTGCAATTAGGTATTAAATTACAGAGGCGTAACAGCTTAGTCTTCAATCATGGCAATGCATGTATGTCGATGGTGTCACATAATGACTTAATATTCATAGTGTTGCACATATATATATATAGGTGACCAGGTGGGCCGTCAATTTATTTGGAATTATAATTACCTTAAAATACATTAATATTAAATTGTTCTAGCATACCTCTTCAAATACTGATGGATGAAGATCTCCTAAAACTTCCAATGCCCGAGGTTCATTATTTGCCGTAAAATGCATAGGCCCCGCAGGCTTTTTACGGCCTTTCACTTTATCTCCCTTGGTCCTATCCTTGCCTTCTTTTTTTGTGCGTTTTTTATCTTTTTCTTTTCTATCATTAGATGTTTCATCATGTGTTAAAATGTCCTCTAATTTCAATTTACTCTGTGAATTAATGACAATATTTATAAAAATTTCTGTCATATTAAAATGAAGAAAATATATTGTGGCCAAAAATTAGATTCAGAGCAAAATAATAATTTCAATTAAGAAAAAAATATAATCTGCTGATATGCTGCGAATGACCCGGACCACTCTCTACAACAGTCCATATCAGTAGTGACTCCAGTATCCAATAGTACTATCAATTTCATCTTAGGATTTTATGATCTTATAAGACTTGAGAAAGTTCGGATTTTATCTAGATATGACTGTCAGACCTACTGACAGTTTGCCGTTTAGGATAACTATACATACAAGAAAAAAGAACATTCATTTGCCTCTAAAATTTATAGTGTTTAAGTTGTCAATCCATGACGTGACACGAATTTCGTGATATTTGCCTCAATTGGTTAATATTCGGATATATTCGATTTTGAAATGTGTTGTTATGAAATTTAGAAGCAACATACAATAACACAATTTAGCGACCGCCTTCCCCTCCCCCCGCCCCCCTAAACCTGTGACGTAATTTATGAATGGGCCTCATACAGGCGTGTTGGTATCAAGGTCCACCTATTCAATTCACTATAAGAAATTACCTTCTCAGCCTTATCATTTTTACTTTTGCTTTTCTTATCATCACCAGAACTCATATCATCTTCTACAATGTCTTTAGTTACAGGTTCCTTATTCCCTCGCTTCATTCGTGGTTTCCTTTGTTTTTGTTTCCCATTCTTTTGATCTAGCAACTTCTTAATTAGTTTTAACAAATATTCCGCACGTGACTGTAAATGTTTCGCTTGAGGTTTTTTATCTTCGTTGGTTAAGATTTTATCACCTATTTCGAAGGAAGAGTCCATTTTTATTGCTTCCCAGGATCCCATACCATATTGATAAATACCTGCAAGCAGTTTGGAGTCATCTGCAACTCCCCATTCAGTATCGAAATTAGCTGGCCTAGTCCTAAAACATAAATTTATTTAAATATCAATATTTTTTTAACAATGATGTCAATCTTAAGCCTCTCCTAGTACTCGGAGCTGACGTAGTCTAGATTTGCATCTATTGTATATCGTAATGGACTTAGAAGTTACATCCAATAAGACAACTTAGATATGATATTAATAAATAATAATAATGTACCTGAAGTCTAACTGCCATTTTAATCTCTCCTCCTTCGTCTCTGGCAAGAAGTCGTTTAAAGGTGCAAGCTCATCCAAACAAGCAGCCAAAGTTTTAGCATTAACAGGTACACCCCCCAGTTTGAATGATTTTCTAGTATTTTTACGACCATCTGTTTGTTCATCTGTGAAATTTAGTTCGCTTACAATAATTGATAAAATAATTGGTTGAAAACATTGTTTGCCTTTATGTGGCACATAATATTTAAATATATAATGTAGAAATTAACAGAAACAAACGAAATTTTAATGAAAGTATTATTGAATATTATTATTTTTATATCTGTTTCAGTTGTAAACTAGCAGTTTTATTAAGATAGACAAGTTAAAACTATTAAGAAAGGAATATAAGAGTTTCATAATTTATCAAACTTACTAGGCGTTTCCGTTGCATCATTTAACACAGCTTTACATCGCTCCTCCAAGATTTCTCCTAGCTTTTTAAGCTCGGCTAATGGTTTCTCTTGTAGTTCAGCATCACAGGCTATACTGTCCAAATGTGCCAGAGGAGCAGAGAATTTCTTGTAACTCTTGACAAATCGCCGTATCTAAAAAAAATTCAATTACATTATATATATGTATATATATAAAGGGTAAACAGAATATAATTTAATACCTTTCTGTTTGAGTTTAACTGGTAAAATAGAAATTTGTAGGATGACACTTCGATTGCACAATTCTTAAATAATCTCTCATATTAACATGATAATATATGTTAATATAACAAATTCTGCTTTGTACTGTTATGGGAAACACTGTATTGGATAAAAATGCACCACACCAGAAGCTTAGTTTTAAATTATATGAAAAAGGGGGTAGAATTTGCAATAGTTTATAACAATATACGGGAATTAAATGAACATACTATTGTTAAGACACACGAAAACATAGTCAGTTCATTAAATTCCCACAGATTGGTAGAAATATTTAAATTAATTTTGATTTATCAATAAATATTCAATCATCAACTTCAAGCCATTGTCTATACTGAAGGGTATATTATAATAATATGGTTGATACACTAAAAATTATAATCTACCACACCTCTTGGTCAGTGAAGCCCTTAATCTTTTCCCTGTGTGAGGCGGGAGGTCGGCCTCGCTTACGGGGTCGGTCGTCATCCGCACTGGCGTCGCCTTCAGAGCCGTCACTTTCTGCATCCCCGTCTCCATCAGCGTCACCGTCTACGTCCCCCTCGCCAGAACCGCGTCCGCGTCGCTTCCGACCGCCTTCTATTTAAAAAAAATGATAACAAAAGCAAATTCTGAAACTAGAGAGGATAATCCACTATCTATTCACACACTCCAAAAATTGTTCATAGATCAAGAACAGATTCTAGATAAAAGAAAAAAAATGTAAATTAGTAGTAATTAAACGGATGTAAGTACCATATGTTACACTTACTATTATCCGCATTGTTTTGTTGCAAATTTTTTCTTCTCGGTGGTAAATACAAATCTTCCATTTCTTTATTTTTCTCCTGCTCTGCTATAGTATTGCGTACATTTTCAGGTATAATATCATCCTAAAAAGAATATTTACATATCAATAAGTAATATATACACAGAATTATGTTATTATTATTATTTATTATTTAGTCCTTAAATTACATAGAGGCATTACACGTAATTCTCCCGAATAACAATGCCTTAGTGGATATGGGTTTCCATGGACATTCACATGGTGCTGCATTGGCTGTGGTTCTGTTCGTATACATACTTGATGAGTGCCACCTTCCATTAGATGGACCGTCATTATGTGCTATTCCAATTATATAAAAAAAAATATATTAAACATACCCAGTCTCTGCTCTCCTCTTCTGTATTGTCTTTTTTAACATCCATCCCTACTTTCTCTTCATCAAAAGCAAAACTGGCAACTTTGAAAGCAGACAATAATTCATCTCCCGCTAGCGTTGGTCCTTCGTCACGAGTCTCCGCTCGTTGTAAAATTTCATCAATATCACACTAAAAAGTTATGTGCCACTGTTATTAAATTATAATAAAAAAACTTTAATGTTAATATTCCAATGATAGCACTGTTAAATCGTGCATTTTTGTTCTATGGATTCTTATTTGTCCCTAATTCATTGTACTGGATGTTTATTATTCTAATAAATACCAAACAGACATCAATGATACTATATTTTAGTGATTTATTAAATTAGTTTCTGAATAAATACTGATAATAAATTACAAACTGAAGAAGGTGAAATCCCAATTGAGCATTTGAGTTGAATATGAATGAAATGAAGGCATGTTAAGGTGTTACATTCATGACACTTAACAATATGTCTGATTATTACTTCTGGGATACCACTTATATTTGGTAATCTATAATAGTTACTTTTTATGACATATTTTAAAGACTAACTTTAGATGTTATGATATATTTTAAAGATTCTAGCCCACATACAATATTGACCACTTTGTCACCTAATTATATTATCAAGACAAATTGTACTACTATGTAGGTATCATACGAGTACATATTAAAAATGCTATTAAAGAAATTAATGACTTACGACAGGCTCCTCATCATTTTCGTCATCATCCTTAAATAATTCCTCGGCACCAAACTTTAATATCGCATTTAAGTCCTCTTTGTTAAAAGGATTATTTGAAGTTGTTCCAGAGGCATCCCGTTTATTGAGAACTGTTCTACCAGTGGTGTCCATCCTCTGGATAACTAGATGATCTAAAACCATCTTTCTTTTGGCTCTTTCTACAATATCTTCCTCCACCGATCTCGCTGTGACTAACCGATAAATATTGACCTAAAAGTGCCTTATATTTTTAGTATATGATAGTGATAATTATTATGGAAATATTGACTTGTAAGAAAATTAATTACCTGATTTTTCTGTCCAATTCTATGAGCTCTAGCTTGAGCTTGCAAATCATTTTGAGGATTCCAATCGGAATCAAAAATTATGACTGTATCTGCAGTCGCTAAATTTATCCCAAGGCCACCAGCTCGTGTTGATAAAAGAAAGCAAAAATCCTGAGAACCTTCAGCATTAAAATGATCTAAGGCTTGTTTCCGAATTTCACCTTTAATACTACCATCCAAACGTTGGAAAGGAAAATGCTTTCTCTGCAAGTATTCTGCTAATATATCTAACATTCGCACCATCTGAGAGAATATAAGAACTCTGTGCCCAGTCTCTTTGAGCCTACACAGAAGCTTGTCAAGTAGAAGTAATTTTCCTGAGCCTCGTAAAAGTTTCTGCAACAAGTTATCCATCATCAAATTTTAACAGTGAAAAAATATTATTTTGTCTCTAATTAATTAGTTGGTAGTTTGTATACATACATTTCTACTTAAAAATTTAAAGTTACAACAATTCTTTAAAACTGCAACATACATGTTTCGTGGTCATAGTTTTTGTAAAGATTAAATTTAAGTTTATTTGAATAAGAATTTTCTATTCAATTAAATATTAGGAAAATATATTACCTCTACGGCATCTGTCGTTGCGAGAGAAGCTCTTGTTTCAAAATCTTCTGGTTTAGTCAAAAGTGCATGATTGCAACACTTTTTCAACTCAATAACAATGTTTATAAATGTATTGATAGACCCTTTAACACCTTTCCGTAACGCAGTATAGTTTTTGGTCAAAATCCATTTATAGTATTGCTTCTGAATTGATGTCATTTCTACCCTTAATATTTGTTCTACTTTTGCAGGCAATGATTTTTCGACATCCTTCTTCTGCCTTCGAAATATGAATGGTTCCAACTGTTTATGCAACTTTTCATAACCCTTGATGGCAGCATCTTCATGATCTTTTTCAAAATCTTCCCATGTTTCAAACCTAAGCATATCAACAATTCAATGTAAAACTTTTCAGTACTATACAACATGTATTATATTATAAATTCAAACGAGTTTTAGTCAATAAACATTAATACTATACTTACTTATAAGGCATAATAAAATGTAATAAGGCCCATAATTCCTTCAATGAATTTTGCAATGGAGTACCCGTTACTAACAGTCGATGATTTGTATCAAACTCCTTCAAAGCTTTATATAGCAAAGAATCATCGTTTTTTAGCCTGTGGGCTTCATCAACTAATAAACATGCCCAACTAAATGATCTTAGGAATTGTCTATCCTTGAGTAAAATTTCGTAAGTTGTTAATATAGCATTAAATTTTAACCTTTTAGAACTTTCAAAACTCCATTCAAACTGTCTAATCTGTAAAATAGAAAAACTCGCATTAATTATATATAATATAATATACATATATCACTCAACTGACTAAACCTACTAGTCAATATAAATACAAGTTCTATACACAAAATAGTAGCAGAGAAAATATAATAATTGACACATCTTACACATAAATAAATGGTAATAAGGCTATGCAAACAAACTGAATAATACATTATAATAAAGCGAAAAGATAAAAGGCAAGTTGCGAGTTAATGATTATATCACAAAATTGTTAAACCGAGTAAACGAGAAACCAACCAATATTGAACCAAGCACTATTAAGAAATAAAAAGAAACTTACTATATTTCTACTGTCTACATCTCCAATATATGTGACAACATTAATGTCTGGCGCCCACTGCTGAAACTCCCTTTGCCAGGCAGTCATTGTACTAAGAGGCACAACACATAGGAATGGTCCATATAGTTGTTGAGACTTGAAGAGGTAGTACAGAAAGCATATTGTCTGAAAAGTAAATATTAAAGGTAAATCTATTATGTCTATTTTTCATAATTTCTGAAGCACAGCATTATGACAGGTGAATATAATTTTATGAAATGGCAAATATGTTAATGGCCCACGAGACCATGGAGACAACATCGTCTTGTGATACTTGTTAACCTCAAGTGTTGTCATTCCAGAGGACAAGTTGTTATGCTACTGTACCCTGTAATTTCACTACTATATTTCACCATCGGATCTAAACACAGCTTATAAAGCAAGATGAATGATGAATATCTCTAGTACAGTGAGATTGAAAAATGAGACAGTTGTACCATAAAATTCCCATTTGACCCTTTTGGTTCAGAAGTCTAATTGTAATTCTTAACATTTATATAAATATTTGTTCTATTCAATTGAGTAGTAGAATTCAAATTAAGTAAGCATCAACTTTGTTAAAAAAAAATAACTTACCTGTATAGTTTTACCTAAGCCCATTTCATCAGCTAGTATGACAGAGTTGTCTTTACACCAGGAATGTATTAACCAATTCAATCCATCCATTTGATAATCCCTTAATTCATAGGTCTGGAAAAAAAGAAATATTTCCGATATTTAATGAACTATTAAACCTCTATGTAAACTTTTATATCTAAATAACTAATATAAACATATATTCTTTGCAATGCAGTTTAGAATAGAAAAGCACATATGTAGCGGCACAGTGCGGTATTGCGTCAAGTCGCCAATTACAAAAGCAGTCCATTTTAATGAAAAGCAAGTAGTTATATGAGTGTTATAAAAGTTCAGGAATTGCTCAGAGATGGCGTTATTAACAGAATGCTCACAGACAATAATGATTCCTACCAACAGTATAGAAAAAAAACATTTGCTTCCGGCATGCAGCCATAGCAAAATAATCCAAACTAAAAATATTATGTAATGTGATAGCTAGAATTTTTAAAAGAATATCATTTGCAAAAACCATGGTTAATACTATTTGATAAAGCTTCGATTAATGCGTTTTTTGGTTCTCTTTCCAGAGAAGCTTAATAAAAGAACAACTCAAAATAATTTACTAATGTAGGACAATTTTCCAAATCCATTTTATTGTAATGTAATTTTTTAACCAGATGATTGCAAACAAGCTGACGGCCTGCCTGATGGTCAGTTGAACCCCTATATGTATACCTAAACAGGACTATGACATCACATTATATAAAGAGCCGCATGTAGAATATGTGTAATATTGTGCAACAAAGTCATTGAGATTAGAAAATGAGAGTATGAAATCAAGTTGTATAAAGTGCTCCGCCTCACTACTGTTTGCAGTGTCAGGCACCTCTGCTTTTGGTTGTTTATTGGCTGTTTCAGTTTGAAAGACAACAAATCAAAGACATATCGGTGAAATCACTACTATAAGGAGTATACCATCTTAGTCCACAGGAATGCGAACAATATTGATCACATTCAGTCACTGTAGTGTATGATTTCTTTCCTATTCTAATATAGAAATATTTAGAAACCTCTGAGTTAGAGTGTCATAAAAATAGGAAAATATATTACCTTATCCTTCCCAATGTACTCAGGCTGTTCTTTAACTTGATGGAACTTAGGCCGCCTTCTTAAGACTGGACAATGTCTTGATGGTGTAGACTTCGCAGCCTCTCTATATTTAAAGTTTTCTACTTTTTCTGGCCACCTTCGTTCTATCAATGCAGAATCTTCCCAAGTTGCCTCTGCATAGGATAGAGACTCCCACTTACAGAAATATTCATGGGCAACTCCTCCAGTTTCTAGTTCTCTTCTTTGTTCAGCTAAAATAAAAAGTATACCATTAATATTATAAACTATCGTGTTTACTTTGAGGACAGATGGAGAAAATATTCTTTCACACAAAAAGTACTGGACAGATTGAAATTAAATTTGGTACAATGATATATAATATCTATAATAACCATGTTTTTCTATTTGAGTTATATCTACATACAAAAATAAGAATACTGACAGTTTATTTGATAACATGGAATATAGGTAGACACAATATTATATAATTTGGGGGAAATATAATATATATGTCAAGTTGTAAAAAATCATAATCATCTGTGAGTCATTCAAGAGTGCGCTGCAAAAACTGTAAGAGTTACACAAATATAATGTATCTCTTAAATAAATGTATATAGAAGTCCGCTACAGCATATATCTATCTTTTGTGTGAAAACCATTATTACCAATATAATGAAATATAATAAAAATTGGTAAATTTCTTCTAAGGCACATGTGATCCTAATAAATTGACCTATATCCGATTCGACGGTCGGATAGCACACCATCTTACTCTGATGATCGCAGATTCAATTCCTATCACATACAAAGATTTGTATTCATATCTTTGTATATCTACCCGCGATGTAACACCTACACCACATCTGTTCATAGTCTCCGACTGATTGCAGGATAGACTCAGAAAAAAAAAAAAATCTTTGTATATATCTTAGTATGATTGTTTGCATTGGTCTGAGTGTTTTCTATGTATACATGTATGTATGCACATGTATACATAGAAATATGTACTGTGTACATGTATGTATTTACATAAAAACAATATCTATGATCAATAGGAGCGAATCTGTAATGAGAAATGTTACAAGATGCGAATGTGACATAGACAAATTTGCGCGTTGCTGACCAGCCAGTACTTTCTATATAATTCGAATTAATCCCTATGGCGAGATGGTCGCGATTTCTATAATTAGTCAATAAAATATATGCTAGTAAGTAATTAAAAGAATAAAAAGATTATTCAAAAAACAAAATGTCTTACCTATTATCCTTTCTACATTATTGTAAGTTTTTATCAATTCCTGTTGCAATTCTGATTGACACTCATAATAATCAATATCCTCTGGACCTGCCTGTTGTCTCCACCATGACAGTTCAGCTTCTTTCTTTATATAATTTTCTAACTTCTTAAGGCCTTTTACTTTTTGTTCATTAAGTGATGTTTCAGACTCCCAAGTATTATGAATATGTGACCATCCCTTCCATTTGATCAGGTATTGAGGTTCTGTTGACTCTTCGTCATTAGGATCACATCCTTCATTTGGATCTCCATGTTCTTCTATATAATACACTGTTGTCACATTGCCAGTGACTGCATAATGATAAGAAGACATTAGCTAAAATTTAACAGTATGTTGTGCACCAAAATGCAAATTATAACAAAATTTCATTTAATAAATGGTTATGAAACTTAAATTACACAACAAATAAAAATTTATAATATTAACTATATTATACCTCCTTTCTTTCCACGTCTGTTTCCTAGAACTTTTTCAATGGTTTCACTGTGATCTTCAGGTTCTGGTTCAGCATCAGGATCACCCTCACCCCCTTCAACCTCCAGGAGATCTGAAGAATCAGTTTGTTCATCACTAGCTTCCTTATAGCTGACTGCAGCACCTGTACGTCTTGTAGCTGTTCTGCTAGAAGAAATGTTAGTCATATTGCATTAAAGTAAAAATCAACATAAAAGTTTCATATATAAAACATTGTGATGTTTCTATGGATTACTTCCTCTTTCCTTCCTTTAATTATTTGTTTTAAAATAAATCTGCAGTCCACAAAATAACAAATACAGGTTGACCTTTCTTCTAATGTATATAAATTTAAAGTGCAAGTGCAAGTGGATAATGGAGTCCTCATTTTGAACATATTGGGCCAATGTGCATGTTGAGTGGATGCTATTATAAATAGCTATTCAAGCTCCACCCAGCAGTAAAGAGATTATTTAATATCTTCGCAAGTTCCTTGGTTTCAATATGCATATGTAATAAAATTAAGATTAATTTTCACTTCTACATTTGTAAGGATCATACAGGAATTAGTTACATTAGTGTATAACAAGCACAAAAGATGGTGAAAAAAATGTAAATCATACCTCTTTGTGTCCTCATCAGATGCTTCTGTGCTTTCATCCTCTTCACTTGTAAATCTTCTTCTCCTTGCTGGTTTCTTTTTTCTTAGAGGTACACTTCTTTGGCCTGGTCTTTTAGAAGGCGGTGGTGGTGAGCCTTTCATATCACTATCACTATCTGATGTGTTTGAGTTCCATGAATCACTAAAATAGTAGATAATCCAGTATAAAATAAAAAAATATGAATATTAGTCAAATGTTATGGTAATACCTGACATTTAGTTTTAAAATACTGAGACTGCAATTTAATAATAGGCAAAGAGACAATCTGCTTACCTTTTCTTTCTATTCTTCCTATGGTTACTTCTTCCTCGTTCACTGGAATCACTATCTGCTAATTTTAGACGATCAGGTTCCTTACGAGATCTTGCAGACCTCCGAATGCCATAAATGTCTGGATTTTCTTCCCAAAGATCTGATTTAACCCTGCCATGACTGTTTCTAGATCTGGGTTTTGGTGGTGAATCATCATCACTAGTTTCTTTGTCAGTGTGATGATCAGATTTAGGAGAATTTGGGTTACTGTGTTTTGGTGAAGACTTGCTATCATCACTGTGATGTGATCTGTTAGCAATAGAAGACTTTTCTGACCCTGACCTTCCCCCAGACCCTGAACCTGATGAACTTGATCCACTGTCACTGTTCAACACAAGTAAATGTTAAATAAAGCTAATATGAAATTAACTACAAATTATGTGGAATGGTGAAGAGAATAAAATATTACGAACCTATCACTGCCTGAGCCCGAGCCACTGGAATCACTCTTTTCACCCTTCTCACTAGTAGATTCACTCCCTGATTCAGTCATAGATCCTTTCTATAATAAAATAAAATAAATTAAGAAGAGATAAAACAATTACTACTAATTAATTAATATACTATTGCATTAGATTATGAGCACATACTATTTTCAATTAATTATATTAACTTTTGACAATTCTATAATGGAAATTTGACATAACAATATGAAAAAAACAGAGGTGTCTTAGATTAGAATACTCTTCACAATAAAGACTATATTATATTAATTTGTCCACTTTAAAAGCAGGCAGATCCTGATGAAAAACTATAACTTTTATTGTCAGCATCTGATTTTAAACTCTTGCTTCCTCTGAACATACAAAACTACTGCTTATTCAGTTGATAAATAGTTGCTAAATGAAACCCTATACCACATAGACATAGTATATGCTACGAATAAATAATTTCGGCACAAATTGTTCTTGTAAATAAAAAAATTGAGAGAGTTCATAGCAATGTTATTTTCAAATTCAGTATCCTTGTGTTCACTGTTTTCCAAATAAAATGAGCTGTAATTATGAATGATTCACATAATGCATAATAAACAGAGGGCATAACCTCAAAATTACAATGTATTTAGCATGAAATTTAACACTATTTCTGAAGAAAATCAACAAAATTTATATTTTTACAGAGCCAGTTTTACTACTGGATTTACTGTAGTTCCTGATATATAGTCACATTCATAATAAGCAAAATAACAAAACATAACCTTCACAACAAATATCTTCAAAGGTAGGGCCAAATTTCAAAGCTAAATTGCAAAAATGGGTCCATCTCAAAAATAATTTTCAGTGCCCACTATAGGAAGATTACGTAACAAAGAAACATTGGAAATCGATTATTTTGTGGGACACGAATATTTTAATACATAAAAACACTGAAATATATTGTAAACAATCAAAGAAACCAATAAATTCACTATTACGTCTTAAAATTTCATCCCTTTTCAGGGCCACACCCAATGCCTTTAGAACACTTTTGTAACATTTCGAAGCCAATAAATGTAATTGAATTTACAAATACACACAAAACATTTGTATAATAGCTAAGAAATACTTACCAAGAGCATTTTGTAGAAAATTCAGCGAATACGGCGTTTCTTATATAATTAACAAATAAAATTAACCAAAGTTAAGAATTTCATTGAGAAAAAACGTAATAAAACACCTGTGGTGATATTTTTAGACATATTTTTAAGAAAACCTAATAAAATCTGAAAAACTATTTTGCAGTAATATCTTGTCAAGCGACGCCATTTTGTCGTCGCATGAATTCTGGTGACGAAGAAAATGAAAAATCAGTAAATTCACCATAAAATTCTGATTAAAAGAAGGTAAACAGAAACAATAATCACTAAAAAATCAAAAATGAAACTTTAGAGCCGTCAGAATTACTTCGTTCTATTTGAAACGATGTGAGCACTGCACACACTACCAGTGAAACTCGTAAGCTCCGGCCATATTGCATTATGCCAGCATTGCCAGGTACAATACTTTAGAGACGTGCAAGGACTGCAAAAAGTAGATTATGATTATAATGCATATATAAATTTAAAAAAATCAGCATAATGTTCCGATATCTATATATTAATACGTGATTAAAAACGTATGCCTTTCACAAATATTCCGTTCGCGCAATTTGTATGAAATTTCGCACACTTATAGTTTATACAGAAAAAGAATGCAGGATGTGAATATATTTTTTTTCAATAGTCCAAAAATAACACATTAAATCAATAAAAAAATTACGCACACTGCCATGTATTTCACATACACATGCATGGCTATATACTAATTTGTTTAAGTTAAATGTGTGGTCAACATTTTTTTATCGAATGATTTTCGATAAATAATTTTAAAAATTAAAATATTTTTTTTTATTTTTGCATTTAAAATTCATTTAAAATTCATATAATTTGTTTGATTATAAGATCAATAATTATGCTGAAATGCATTTTTTTTATTCATTACTAGTACGTTTAAAGTTATATAGAAAAACATAACAAACATGCTAGTTATGGTATTTATTTCTGGACACTGTTTTCAAATATTTTAACTTTATTTGAATGTACTATAATATATACCATTTACCTAATAGACATAGATGTTCACATATATATTTAGGTGAACATAGTCGTATTCATCATTATAATTTATAAATTTCTAAATTTTTATAGACTACAATAAATTATTTTCATCACGAAATTACAAGCATGACATGGCTTCCAAACATTACATAAACTTGCGGAAACTGATTTCAATCGATAGACTTAGTTTGCTGTTTAACAAGTCTTTAGTATAGCAATTTGATTTTGACGTAACATCCGTTTTTGATAAAAATATGTTGCTATAAAAAATAATCCACATGTGCACATAATATAGTATTGCCTTATTTCCTATACTTTGTATTATATTATTGAATGTTTTAGGCTCATATTTTTTTATTGCTAATAAAGTCGCCTAATGATAAATGCAGAAGGATATAAAAATTTGCGAGTACGTCATTCTAATTAACAAATTTCTTATAAAAAATCCATCGTGTTGCCTTATTCAAATATTTAGTAAATGTACTTTTGAAAACTGTCTTTCCACTCAATGTTTATACTCCACGCGTTATAATATGATTCAAATGACAGACCTAAAATCAAAAAATCACAGTTACACATACGTTCACTATACTGTTCACAATATGACAGTAATAATTTAATTGCTATATAAAATAATTGATATTTAGTAGATTGTCTATTTAAAATGTTTAATATTTATAAAGTTTATTACTTTCACATGAACAGTTATTTTATTGAAAAGTGCTAGTGTTATCAGCTGTCTGTCAGATACACAATACTACGCGCGGAGTCCAGACTATGCACGGACATATTGTTGACATTTATTTATTAAATAAAATGATTTAATTAATATCGAATATTTTCCAATTCCATTCTAACATAGAAGTCAAAATGCTTATATTCTCCAATTATTCCTTATTCTAATTTTTATTAATTGTTTAATTCGATAAATATTGAACTTCTACAAAGAAATACATCAAAAAAGTCACTTCACGTTATTGTAAGTACATACATTGACAGTTCTTATGTTTATTTTATACTTATTCCTCTACCAGCCAGTTTCTTATACTATACCAAATATAGTAGTATTTTAGAACTACACTATGAATATTATTGTAACTTTCTTTGCTTTTGGTACTGCAGAAGAACAGAATAGAATACAAAATGCACAAATAGCAATAAGTACTTTCACAGGTTCTTTGCTATAAATATTTTCCTTTTCAATAAGTGTATTTACACATGCATGCTTGCTTGATGTCGCTGTATTATAAATCTGTAGCCATCATATTGATTTACCCTTGACAATGACACTACATCATATTGGTTCCTGTGAATAAAAAAAAATCAAGGATACTAAGAAGAATAATTAATAGATATGTATCTAAGCTTTTAGTATGCTTGAATTACCATTTTTTCTTTTCTCTGCCCTTATTAAAATAAGTTGTATGTACATATTGCAGAGACTATGTAAGTACATACAAGAAAATTTAAATTAGAAGGTACTACAGTAGAAATAAAATAAATATATATACATATATATTGTTACTAATTGTAATATGTGATTTTCCACATGTCACTTCAGGGTTTTATGTGTCATTTGAGGATATGTTCCATTGATTCATCAAATTTAATTCAAAACCAATCAATCCTTTAATAATGATTGAATAATAAAAATTAAAATATTTTAGAGAAACTTACTAATATAATATTTATTAATATTTTTGAGAGTCTTACTGTATGCAAAATATATCTTTTTCATGTGTATATTAAATTTTATTAAAATTCATATATATATATATATATCTGCATATATATTAGATCTTATAACATCATTAAATACATGTCTTTGGAATGTCTCCCAAAAAGAATTTTGAGAATAACATGTTTCACCTAAATACAGAATTTTATCTCTTATAAGGAAAATATCACTTGTTATCGTTATTTTCATCATTGGCTATAACTTGTAAGTCATATGTTTTTAAAGTAATATTAAAAAAAATCTAAATAATTTTGTTTTAAATCTTATAGATTGGACTGGATGGACTATTCCATAGCCATATTTTTTATGTATTATAAATTTCTTTTTCAGATCTAATATGGCATTGACAAATCTACCAGAGGAAGTTTTAATAATATTAATCAAGAAATTGGATACAATATCACAGTATAATTTATATAATACATGCACACATATCAGAAATATTATTAGCACACATATTGTAATCAAAGATTGTCAGCTGTCTTTGAACACTATGGCCACTGCACAATCATTGAAACTTAATTTCTTCAAGGACATCTCATATCATTTACAAGAACTAAATATGTGTGGTGTTCCTGACTTATGCAAGACAATGTTATTACCAGCTGTGAAGAAATTAAAGAATCTTAAGACTCTGGATGTTTCATACACAAACATAACTATTCCAGATTTTGTTGAGATTCTAAAATTATGCCCAACAATTAGAAATATCACAATTAATTTTATCCTCAGCAGGGCAAACATATCCATAGAAAGAAAGGTATTAGTGGAGGTTCAGAATTCTTTTCAACAAATGGAGAATGTGCATTTTGTCGGTGCGGCATATAACTTATTATATTCGAAACTTTCTTTTTTTATTTTAAACAGTGCAGTAATAAATTGTTTAAAATATTCAATTTCGCAAAGGGACATCTTAACTTATCATTTAGATGAAAATGTCTCTTGGGAACCAAACATTAAGTTTAAGCAATTGAGTGTCTATTTCCTAGATTGGGAAAAGTCATATACATTATCTAACAGTCTTTCAATTTTTACGCTGCTTAATTTTGCAAAGTATGAGGTGCTAATTATATGTGCTAATTCTAATAACCTCTTTATGCATTCTGTTTTTGCTACACCAATTTTAAAACAGTTTATTAGTGATAATTTTATATGTAATATTGAGAGTTTTACAAAATTAAATGATCTGTCTGGAAATGCTGTCATAATGATGTGGGAGAAGGAAACCATTCAGTTTGATAGTGGATTTTATTCAGATCTAATGAAACAGTTGCAAGAATATTTTGTACAGCAGTGTGATGCACATACTTTGACTCCTTTACCAGAGAACTGTAAATGGTTCTACACAAGACCAACAATGTCAGATTTCACTGAAAAGGATTCCAATTCAAGTCTCTCTACATTTAAAAGAAGAAGAATAGCGCCCCAAAGTTATGTATTGGACTATGACAAACTATTTCAGCATAAAGAAAAGCTAAAATTAAACATTGATTTTGTACAATTAATTAAAAGTTCAGTAACACTGTCAGCTAAATGTGATTATTTAAAGAAAATTACATTTTTAAATTTATCAGGCTTAGCTTGCTTTAGTGTGGAATTTTTTAATATATTATTCAGGTGTTGTGATAACCTGATTACATTAGATGCTGTGGTTCGGTCTGAATTCTTAGGTGGGTCTCCTTTGTCAAGGTCTATAGCTTTAAGTAAGAGTTTGAAAAATGTGAGATTGGTTGATAGGAAATTTGATTTCAAAACATTGTTTTTATATTTAAGTCAATGTAAGACATTAGAAAATATTCATTTACAGATAACGTCTTCTGTTATACCAAACGATTTGCCTGATCCTAGTATTATAATTAAAAACTGCAGTAACTTGTATAGTCTCAGTATAAAAATGTCAACTGTAGACACTTGTGTAATAAAAAAGTCAATAATGTATAATAAAGTTAAAAATCAATTTGGAAAACATTACTTGAATATAGAACTTTATCCAGACAGATTTAAAAAATTTAGTTATTATCCATATATAGATGTATTTAATATTTACCCAATTAAACCAATTTGATTTTATATTGCCCTGTTGTAAAGGAAAATTGGAAAAAAATGTACAATGGTAACATTGATTGAAGTATTTATATGTTGATATATACACACTATGTAACAGTCATATTTGAATGATCTAAACATTGCATTTGAAATCCAAAATAATTATGATTTGACGAAGTACATAACCTATAGTTATTACGTTACAGTCATAATTCTATATGCTATTTGATTAAAATATATTAACCTTTCTTACATGACTGTCAGCAGGATTTCTGCATGCAATATTATATTATTATTATATTTTCCAATGTTCCTATTTTGCCAAATGTTTTACGCAGAAAACAATTGGTTGGCATACATATAAAATGAATACATTTTGATAATATATAAAAATATTTATTACTCCTGAAGGAGTGCATTTTTGTGATAAATGGATACTCTTCTACCATTTTTTTTATGTCTTTGTACTTAATATATTATTTAAAAATTATAGCTCAATAATAAAACACAAAATGATACTGAAGCGATATTATATTGTAGGTTTACATCTAAATGTAAGTTTAGTAAAAGACAACGATATGATGCCTAACACAGCGCTACCGCCACAAGCAAATGTCAGCACGCCTCTGTAGTACTGCGGGCAACCAGCTACTTCATCACATTTGCTGAAAATAATATATTTATTAATTAAAACAATATTAATTGATGACATGACTGAAAAGGATAAATGATTTGGTGTTTCTTATGTTATATTAATATATTTGAAAGACCATACCAGCTATTTAATGAGAATTCAATAATAATAAAACTTTAAATAGTATGACCGTAAAAATACCTAGTTAACTAATTACCGAGCTGGGTTTAAAGGGCTGTGAGGGGTCATAACATCGTCGAAAAAGTAAAGTTAAAACTATTATAGTAATTATTATATTTTGTATTCTGTAACAGTAACAATAATAAAGAATGTTTATACCTATTGTTTCATAAAACATTAATTTTACGTCCTAAAGAATGGGATTGCCAGTAATGTGGACAAATAACCTCATTGCTAGCAAATGTACCATATCAAGTTGACCTCCACGCGGTTCCCTCTGGAATTCAACGTGATAAGATACTGGTGAAATTGCTAAAATGAATTGACTTCGTGTTTATATTATCATCCTCCACTGGTGCCCTCTGGTCCATCCAGCGTGCATCCCAAACGCAGGCAGATGCACTATTCCATTATCATTAATTAAAAAAGTAAGAAAATTAATTATAAGGGTCATTAAATTAAAATATAGTATAGTAGTTATATATGTAGCTCATGTTTTAAAATTTCTATTAGGTTTATCAACCTATGAAAATATTCCTTTCACAGTTTCTTTTATGAAACTACAATTTTATATTATCTGTGATACAGCTAACGTGCTACTACAGTGTATATAACGGTAGATCCTTTACAGTGTAGGTAGAGACCAAAAGGGCAGGTTTTTTTACATAAATTCACATAATTTATTAATTTCTTTTTAGGACATGACTCATAAAAAGAGCAAGAATTATAATACAAGTTTACTACAACAAGTAGCTGTTCCGTAAAATGTATCAGTATACTTACTAGTTCTCTATCGCCACAACTGCTATTCCTGTGACAAGCTTGTCGGCAAATGTTACAATAGAGTATATTGCCGCACCTTGATGAGAGTGTGGCCCAATCAAGTCTGCCGTTATGCAAAGACTTGAAACAAGCGTGATTGAACTACCAGCACCTGTAAATTATATATTTAATATATAACAAAATCATCGTTCTGTGTTTACTTTGTTATCTTTTCATGACTGACTGACTGAATTTTATAGAAATAGTAACAGCTAATCTAAATGTAATAATAAAAAATATATATATTAATATTATAAACACTAAAGTTTGTGAGTGTGGATGGATGTTTATTACTCATTAACGCAAAAAGTAATCAACGGATTTTGATGAAACTTTACAGCAAATTTACTTATACATCAGAATAACACAGGCTATAAATTTTATGCGAGTGAAACAGCGGCCACAGCTAGTATTTAATATTGTGAAAACTTGTTCCTAATCATTGTATTGTGTAAAGAATTAAAATTTGAAGAATGATATACATTATTGAATAATAACAAAATAACACTATTATAGGTTTTTATAAAAAAAACGTTTATAACACACAATAGATAGTTTATAACAAATTGGCGGATTTATCAGTTAAACTTAAAACTTAGTTTGTATCACGTATCAGTATTTAGAATAGTTCGTATCACTTACCGATAAGCGTTGCGACTAGGTATATTTGAACGATACTTGCATCCGGATCTATAGCTAGCGCTATCCACAAACAACTGGTCAAACTCAAGAAACTTCCTATAAGATACGCCATCTATGAACATATTTATATAGGTCTCATTAGTATATGTCACAGCTAGGCAATTAGGCACAATATGTGAAGTTTAGGTTATCTGTCTTTAATTCTCATTAATTCATTTGTACCTGTTCACGGTCACGATTAGATACAACAAACTTATATACAAAATTTATTTTTACAAGTAGGTAATGAATACTTACGTAGTTCCCACAATTGTTTATCTTGCTTTTTAATAGAAGTGTGAAAAAGAACGAAGATACGTAAAGTACGAGGGGTACACTGGCTACTAGCTCAGACCCTGCACTTGGGTTAACAGAAAGACGTTCCTCCAAGAATAATGGCACATAAACAAGACTCAAAGCCCAATAGAGTCGAGAAAAAACATATCTGAAAATTTTAAAAATATTATACTCCTATAAAATTTTAACCCGCTAATGATAAATGGATACCTAAATTATTTTGTCACCAACTAATATATCTAATTATTTTTCTTATTACAGGCGTAGTTGTACGTGGTTCCTCTAGTCTTAATATAGATAGACGTATCTATTTATAATCTAGAATGATTATTTGCTTCTTCATACATTATTTAGTATCATAGAACATGATGCAGGTGTTTAATTTAGGCGTACTATTTAGTACTTACAGCAAACTAGTTTGATACAAGAGAGGCATCTGTAGGAAATGTATTATTCTCGACTTTGTGACAAGTCGCCCCGATTCCCCATTCTCAGTCACAAGTGAAGACGTTCCATTATTTACTGTATGTCCGTTAGGTTTTGAATCTCTTGTTGTTCTTAATTTGAATAAGATATGAAATAAGGTAAATGCTGCGATTCCAATACCTGATATTATTAAGGACACATCCTGTAACAATTATCGAAACATTAAGTATGTATTTAGTGTTGATAGTTATTTTTTCCCGCTATTGTATGCTAATTAGTATCATTATATAAAAGCTACTAATCTGTTTCAAATGACTAAATAAATAATTTGATTTACCCTGAATTTATAATCATCTGTTGGTCCAATAAAAGTGCTGTAGTTTGTCGCCCGTAACACTACCCATGTAATTAGGTACACCATCAGGCTGGACATAACTGATGCCATATATCTATAAAAAGCATAATTGAGTTTATTAAGTATTTCAGGTATACGTAAAAAACTGTAATGAAATCCGTTGGAATATATTTTATTATATTATACATTTTCTCAAGTAACAAGCACACAAGCCCTATATGCACTTATATGTAAATAAGGGGAAGCAATAGATATATAGAGCTTGTGTGTATTTTAAATATCATATGTAAATATACTGAATGTTTCAATTTCTGTAACACTAATACTACCTATAAAATAACATTAGGTCCACATAGAGTGAGTATATACAAACTATAACATGACAACGCCAATAGGTACTAATCCTAAAAAACAGTCTGTCCATGTGCCAAACAACTTGTCCCTATAGTTAATGTTATTGTTACCTTATAGATGTTAATTCAGAACGGATTTGAAGATCGTCTGATATATCTGGTATCATAGCAAGGTGAGAAATTTGTACAATTGCCCATCCAATTTGAAAAAAAATAATTAAGACTGCATAGTACGATGACATCCACCATGTGACGTTGGTACTTGTTTCATTGGCAATACAACCCCAACATCTTACAAATAATAATGGAAATGAACACGTCACTATTATGGAACCTGTAAATAAAAACAATACTTACTAATATGATAAAATTTAAATGCGAATGTTGCTCTGTCTGTATAACAGTCTGTCTCGCTTTCACGCCAAAACTACTTTTTCCTTTGACTTTTTTTAGGCTAGATTATTGAATATCTTTTTCTTTATTTGGTCGAGATTCTACGCGGACGAAGCGGTCACTACCGTATTTTAGTAAATATATTTAGTATGCTTTCATAAAAAAGGACCAATATATAACATTCTATAATCATGATATTTCGTAGAAAATCGACGAACTTAAAATAATCGCATTATTAATCAAAAGAATATCTATAAGATACCTTACCGGTCAAATGCCAATTTTTTTTAGTTCCGTATCTGTCAGCTAACATGCCCACTGCTGGTGTAGCAAGTGCATCTATTACTTGTCCTGAAATATTAAAGGAATTACAGAGTTAATAGTATATCTACTAAACAGATTTTAGGAATTTAACACAAGGGGTTAACTGCTCCTATCATCTCCAAATAGTGATTCGCTAGCATTATAGTTAGCACAGTCCCCCTTCATATATTAAAAAAAACAGTAACCATATGGGTTAATAGTAAGCGATATACGAATATAAAACAGTGATAGTATTCGTTAATATGGTTCTCCTAAAAAGTAAAGTGGAAAAATAAAAAAAAAAGCTAAAACCCTCATGCATACAAACTACAGTCATGTGATCAATTTAGTATGAAATTTCGAAGTAAATATTCACATTTCTACATTATTTCTTGGTGGAAATGGTTCCGTTAGACATTAGACAGAAAATCTAGGGAAACTAGAATAAATATGCACTGAAAGGAATATTTGTTTAAACCACATAATTTTGAGATGAAGTAATAAATTTATCAATTATAAATACCTAAAAGAAGCATAGCGCCGGCAACTACAGCTCTCATTTCCAAAACAGCTTGAAAGAACAGCATCATGTAAGAGAACCACATGGCCGCACAGAGATCGTTGTAAATGTGGCCCAGGCCGTACACCAAATTCTGACTGATCCTCCACCATCTTCGACGTCGGCACAATTCACTACAATATTATAAACAAATTAATTACTCTGGTTATTAAGTAAAAATTTTCATTTTTTCAAAACCACCAGATTTCGTACTCGTAAAACTTTTGTATATAAACCGATTGAAATTAAATTATCGCTCAATTTTAAGTGAAGCCTGCCATTATTCATTAGTCAAAACCACACCTAAGTCGGTTTCGGAAATTAGCACACACAAACGCACTAAATAGACTAAAAATCTTATAATGTTTACGTTGGCTTCTGTTATATTGATATATTTCCCTAATAATACTTTTCTCGTATGTATTTTATATAAAGAGAGCAATTCATTACATTTATTTCTATTGCGTGTATTATGAATAATATTGATAAATATTTAATAATTTGGATATTATATATTTACGTATATTGTACAGTAATCTGTCAAGTATATTATATAGTAATTTAATTGTAATAAATAAATTAATGTCTAAATTATTTAAAGTTACGTAATGTAGTGAAATGTAAAGAGAACATATTAGATGTAAAAATAAGATTAATTAAATTCCAAATAACCTATTTAAACACAAAAGTATTATGGGATCAATAATTAAAGCCCATCAATTAAAAACAGTCACTAAAATAGATTTAGATATTGCATTAAATTTCGTATTACACACAGTAAATAATTATAATCTAAAGAGAACCTTCAAGAGAAACTTTCAAGTTCAAAAAAGTGTAAGAAATAATTAAAGTAATTAAATCCAATCCTACTCGTTAGGAGCACGTTTATCACACTCGTTATCCATATTATGCTTGTTAGGTAAATAATTTCACAATACTGCAATACTTTACAGAAGAAAATTAAATATTTTAGGACAAAATTCAAAAGTAGACAACGCCTTTATGCTTTCGTCTTTGCACTAACACGCAAGAAATTCTCGTTTTATTATTCCCTCCTTCAATTGGACCAAATTGCATGTGATATTGTGTTCTGGATTAGATAATGTTCCTGATCGGATATGTCGATTAACCGCCACATCACCTCAAATGATTTTCTGCGCTAACACGCTCTTCTTTTTTGGTCTCAACAATTTTCTCATTCACGTCCGTCGATCCGTATTTGGAACACATATTATTTATTATTCATACAGACGAATTCAAATAGTCTGTTATATTATCACGTAAAAATTAGACCTTTATAATTGTAGGTCGTTTACTTAATTATTTAATATTTTACACTGTTACAATGTTCTAATAGGGATATCCTCCCTTCGTTGTTACTGAGTCCGGTAAACACTTTGCCATAATGTCGTGTGTCGTTGTATTAGGTTCACTAACGTATGACATCGGATTATTGGCTATTCTCTTGTGACTGTAAATTGTAACTAAAGTACGCCTGAACCTTAGATATGCAATTTAGAAATCATTCATGTCGCTAAATTGATATCTATAGGAAGGTATATGCGAATGCACTTTGACCCGTATTTATAAAGCAGAATTGACCCATGAAATCATTGCGTTTAATCAGACGTTTACTAGACATTTCCGTATTTAAATTACATAAATTGCAATACTAAGAACCGATTCTTAGTATTGCAATTTATGTAATTTAAATGCTCTTTACAATAGAAAAGATTTGTATTAAATATAAAATTCTACATAAATATAACAGATAACATAATAAATATATATAACGAACTAGATGTGATTATTTATTTATGTGTAAACATACATGATACATGATAGACATTATTTTGTGAAACATCTGCAACAATTTGTATGTAAATTTGTACTTTGATAATGATTTGTTGTCGTACTATTTAGAACAAGACAAAGACTATTTTACACAAAATAAATAAGGCGATAAATATTCAGACAGCTGAAGAGGTTTGTTTGAATTGATGAATCAACTTTCTATTATTTTTGTATACCCAAACGGGAAATAACCTTACTTCCCGGCTTATACCAATATAGAATATTTTTTTATAATGATGGAATGATGTACTCGTCTGCGTTAACGGTATACCTACGCAAGCGGGCATTATAGTAGAGGATGATAGGATAAGATTGAGCTCAGGTCATTCAGCCCATCGTGGCGAATTCATCAGAAATTTACTTCGATATAAATATAATGTCTATTTATATTTAGATCGGTCGATGCCCTACTATTGTTATACGAGTACTAGGTAATTTAACTAGACAGTGGCTTCCGTAGCTATCAGGTTACCGTTCTGTCCGTACCGCAATTCATGCTTCATTGGACGTGCCTAAAGACCCGCCCACTGCTACAATAAAAGCTAAACCTACAAAGGCAAGAGGTATCTGGTAACAATCTTTATATTGATATAATATATTGATTACGCTATAAATAGAAAACTTAGTATATAAAGTTTCTTTAAAATACTTTACATAGACTAAAACTTATAGTATTCATTAGAATATTTTTATGCAATATTATATATTTTAGTGTATATAAATAGTTTAAAAACTGAAGAAGCTCTATTATTTTTCTACCCTTAATAAGAGGTACGTAAATGTAATATTATTTAATCTGTGGTGTAGGTAATATGAAAATACATTATTAATAGAAATTAAAGATTATAAACAAATTCATTAAAAGTTAATAAATTAATTTTGTAGACATAACTGAGTAGAAACTAAAAATCGAGTATTGTTATCTATTTGTCTGAGCCTGTAGTGTGTATATATATATATAAACCTTCCTCTTGAATCACTCTATCTAATTTAAAAAAACCGCTTCAGAATCCGTTGCGTAGTTTTAAAGATTTAGGCATACATAGGGACAGACAGGGACAGCGACGACTTTATTTTATACTATGTAAAGATGATAATAATACTCGTAATATAAGACTTTATTGTGTACTGAAAAGTATTTATATTTAAAAAACTTTACATAAATATAATGTTCATTATTTTTATTTATTGTGGATTATGCGCCATCTGTAGCTATATGACTGAACTAACTAAGTATGCGTGTCAATATAGAAAGGTATGTAGAGATATCAAGTTTATAAGTATCAGACACTCTACGTAGACAAAAGTTTTATTATTAATTATTAATACAGTTAGATTTAAAAATTATACGAATAAACAAGCAATAAATAAATATTCACTTACAAAGTAAATATGCAAGAACAGTTTCAAATTTAGATTAATAAACAAGATATAAAAACCAGATGGCAGCTTTTTCCGTTCATCAGCTATCACTTTTTTCTCATTTAGTAATTGTTTTCTTTTAACAGTCATATTGCATCCATGAAATATGCCAGCAGAAGGTTTTAACCTGATTCAACTTTAATCCATTTTTTTGACTACAAATTCAACTCAAATATTAATTCATCACCAACATTACGCACAATATTAAATTTATATTAACAAAATATTAGTTAAATTTAGTCAATTTAAATTACTACTTTCAAATACCAGAATAAAATTATTTTCTTACTGTTCTGTTCTTTCTCTAGAAATTAAAATTTACCAACGTCACTTCTTTGACAGTTAGTTTATTTATTTCATGAAAACCAACCAATATCAAATTATAAAAATTATACCAAACAATCAATATTAATAATAACAATATAAAACAAGTCTATAGAATAAAGATATCAGATTCAATAAAAAAAATGTATCTACCTACAAAAATTATTAATTTAAAAACACTCTATAAAAATGTGATATGTAGGTGCTTCGTAAAAATTTTGAATAATAAAGTTTTTAATTTTTTCACAGGTTTTCCACTTAGCATATGTTTTAATTAACATAAAACAATATTTATCATCCAGCTTATTCATTTTTGAGGTTAGTTTTTTATTTTCATGGAAATTTACAATCTATGTACTTATCTAAATGCAAATTTTTATAAATATAAACTGTTCTAACGTAAATTGCTTTGTTATAATTAATTAACAATGATTAACACGAAATTAACTAAATATTGTCCACTTATTGCTGTTTCATAATTACGGACAACTTAGAAAATCGAATGTGAGGGGGATGTGGAACACTGAATATACTGTTCCATATTATTCTTTAGAAATACATTAAAAAATTACTATTAAAGTATATCATAGTTATAAGACTTTAATAAATATTTTTGAATCATTGAAAATATTTCAATTAAAAAATTATTTGCTTCCTAGAATAACAGAGATAAACCTAACAAAAATTAAAAGTTAAAATTTTATTTTGTAGTTCAGATTTTTATCACTTGTTTCATAAACGACAATGTTCCATAATATGGCCCTTTACCTTAGTGAACCAGGAAGTAAACTCTGTATTATGTAAAAATTAATCTCCTCATTTTTGAAATCGCTGTGTTGTCAATATACTAAGAAAACAGCATAGTAATTATATATTATAATGGTAAACATTACTTGCACTATTATCTAGTCACATTTCTAATTTGACTTTAAAAAACATTTCACGCTAAGTACCTATTTCACCTTGTTCTATGGCGCGGAGATATTTTTAGCAATTATTTAGGTAGATTCAGAACACATTCTAATATAACATAGAATGGAATTCATTTACAACAGATTTCGTAGAATTATCAAAGTTTCAGATGTTAACGAATCTAATTATTTGTAAACAAACAGTAAATTCCATATTGGAACTTTTGTTTTTTAAATTTATATCTGGCCAAATAGAAGACATTGTGATTTGAATTTTATATTTAAAATCAGTGTGTGTTCGGTGTTTTCTATTGTTCGTAAATTTTCGCTGTTAATATATAGTGAGCCTTTTACCTTTTACCAATTATATACATATTTTATTTCATTATATTTACATTGCGGATTAAACCCCTACATTCGAAATTTTCAATATGTATATAAATAATATCTATATATTCAATATATACCCAAATAAGAGCGTAATATAAACTAGGTCCTTTGTTCAGAAACGTTGGCTATTAAAAATGAGCTGATCACGATTGGTCACAATCGATTGCACAATGGAGCGCCCTATGAGCGCGAGCCAAACTGTACCCCATTGATTTATGAGCCGGCCAGCCGGTCCTAGCTAGACAGTCGTGGTCTGCTGCAGTCACGATAATTAAATCTACTATTAATTGATATAGCGGCACTAATAACATTTATAGATAATTTATTATGAAAGTGTTTCTGTCACCCCAAAAGGGTTCATGCCATCTAAATATTTTATTCAAATTAGGTAATGCACATTTATTATTTAAGTATGTGTAAAGAAACTTAAATAAAAATGCCCTAAATCTAATTTATTTTATTTTAGATAACCAGATTTATCAGAAGTGTTTGTATACAAAATATCGCAATGCAGTGCTGCTTTCTAACATATCTCATTTGAAATATTCCCAAATACTATGTATTATTAGGTATATAATTCAAAATCAAAGAAAACACGTCAGGCTTAGTGTTTATTTGATGGATAATGTTTTGAATTTAACGGATAAATAATACATTATTAGAGCCATTTTGTGATGTCCTTAATTTCTTCAAATTTCTTTTTTCCTTATCAATCCGTATCATCAGACAGTAGAATGGCCAGAATGAAACTGACACTTCACTATTATAAGCCAGGATAGCGAATCAGTCACTACACGAACGAGGTCACGACGCCCTCGGAATTTAAAGTAATAAAATGTTGTTGAGTAGAATTACATTCACCACTTTATCACCGACAGAAAAGCGCAACCAAGGTTAAAGAAATATTAAAATGGCGCATAGCGGTGAGAATTTAATCGTGTATCGTGATTACAAAGTAAAAATGATGACGGTTCATATTGAACTAGATTTGGGGTAGCTGCAGATAAAAGAGCTGTTTAGCATAGATACTATTCCTATTTGGTATAGGCAGATTATAAACAAACTATATATATACAATAAAAACTGTGTGAGTATTGGTACAGACTTTAAAATTCAATGAGAAAATAAATGATTACTCTATTATATTTGATTAGTAACTTGTATATTAAATATAATGTTCGCAACTTGTAGGTATATCAACATAATAGATATAGCAGATAAAGAAGTAATTTTCACGAGATAAACTTAAGTAGCGAAACCAGTTCAACGCCCAACTGATGTGCAGCCTACTCAAATCAAAATGGCCGATATAGCCGATACTACTTGGAACCACTTGTTAACCTCCAATTTGTACTATTATGTGCAGTCTGACCTTTATTATTATGTATGATGTACAGAAGGAGTGTCTGGGTGCCTTGTTGCAAAAAGTTCACTACCTATATACCTACATGTAGTCTGGTAAAGGTAACCGGTTCTCAAAATGAATGACAACTATAAACCTTTAAGCATTTTTAGGACTTAAGGCTATATACGT